AACATCATTGGAAGTGCGCGGGGGGCAGCGCTTCTTGGAGCAGCTCATTTATTGAAGAATGTGTTGTGTCAGCAGGTCAATAATAATAATAATAATAATAATAATAGTGAAACTTATATCTAATACAGCTATTTTGACTTCATCATTATCATCATCCTTCGACATACCTGTGGTTGGTCAGAACTCCATTAACAATTCCTTTCCTGCATTGCTATCCCCAGATCTCCAATGTCCACCCCTGGGTCCCGAGCCATGGGGTCTGAGAAAGTCAAATTTCATGAGATGACACTATCCAGAAAGATCCCAAAAAAGGAAGGAAGAGATGACTTCCCCTTTAGATCGGTGGTATTGGCCGGCAAACCTCATTTTTTTGACTTAGAGAGCGATCACCCTGGCACCACACTTGTGCACAAGAGAAGCTATATTCAGTGGGCCCTGGTAGACGTTTCGTTATCTTGCGTGATAAGAACATCGTGAAAGCGGAACAGACAGTACTCTGCAACTACAATTCACCAGCCTGCTGCAACTGGCTTCACCGTATCCCTAACACAGGGAGATTGCTAAAACTTGATCAAAGTCTCAACCCCAACTTAGCGGGGGGAATGAGACAGTTTACTGCTATCAAACGACCAGTCTCACACCGCCTCCGGGCACTTCAACACACACGGCATCTGGCTTCTTTTGGGAAAGAAGCTGTCTGAGTTGGGTTTGCTTTTTATTAAAGAAATACGAATGGGAATGACGATGGTTTACCACTGTAAATATAACATGGAGGGTCCCAGTTGTAAAGGTCTGTGCTGGTGATGGAATAAGGAATGTAACTTGTCTATTCTTCGCATTGTTTTACCTTTTCCTATTTATATATCTTTGGGGGTTGAAAAATATTAAAATAACAACAAAAAAATTTTTAAATAAGACTTGTAAAGTTTAATACTCCCAGGAAATGTTGAAGGTAAGATGGACAAAGAAAACCAATGCATAAGATAGTGAGTTTAAGTAAATAAGATGGCGGAATCGGGTTTAGCAGAGATAATAAGTAAACATTTATTAAGAGCTACAAAGGACAGAAAGCTGTGGAGAGCCATGATCGCCTGTGTTCTGAGAGAACAGGGAGATGCTGGGAACTGAAGATTGTGCAGCCCCAGTCCCTATATGGCAGCAATAGTCCATTCCTATTTTTATCTGACTCTTGTAAAGACAGATCATCACAGCAGGAGTTTAGTGCCGGTAGACGTTCCGAGCGTCTTTGAGATTGTGACCCTTCATCAGGATTAGGTTAGATTTAATGTTTGCTCGGAGAAGAAGCAGTCTGAGTGGCATTTGCTTTTTATGAAAGGAACACGAAGGTAATGACGATAGTTTGCCACCATAGCGTGTGGCAGCTGTGAACGTCTGAGCTGGTGATGGTCTAAGCTATGTAACTCGTCCAAACATATTCAATAGTAATAGCGATAGAAAATTCTGGCGACCTGTCGTCGGTAGGATGAAGGTTGCAGAGTGGAGAACACTTCATCACTCATTAGGCCGCGAAAATGTTTTTGAACACGGCCGAGACTGTACATACGCCATTCTTGGTCTGATTTGACTCTTATAAAAATAGAGCCTGGCAGCGGGAGTTACGTATTTTCTGGAGCATTGAGCTTACCATTCTTCCAGCATCTTTTTCAATTGCACGAATATACGAATATGAGGCCGAGAGTGGACTTTAGCTCCAATAAGTGTTCGAGGCAAAGAGCCTCTTATCAGTATCGGTGCAGGTTTTGGATAGAACAGAAGACTCTCCCAGTGATTCCATAGCTGGTCAATTTGTGTAGTAACCCCTGTCCCACACCTTATCAAAGGCCTTCGAGATATCTAGGGCGATCACACTCGAGAGATTTTATTATCAAACTTCACTGATTCTGATAAGACATCAGCAATGGACCTAGAAGAGCTAAAGCTATACTGTTTGTCGCTCAGGAATTTGTTTTTGTTCAGGTGTTCAACTACTTTCTTGCTTCAAAATGTTTACTAATTAGAGGAGGCTGCTATGGGGTGATATTGGGACGGGGTGAGCTCTTATGATCCCTACCGATCTATACACAAAGGATTAGGGTAAATATCTATGTGGATGATACTATAGATTATGGAAGCACCTCCTAAAATCAAGATGATTAGGGATCTTGCAACTGATCTCTCCATTGATCGATCTCTAACAGCTCAATGGCTCTTAAATTTCAATATCTCAAAAGCCAAGCTAGTGGTGTTTCATTATTACCGACCCAGAGACATAGAGTTTTCTCTTGACACTATCAATGGCTACGTTCTCAATGAGGCTCGGTGCTTTCAATGACAAAATCTCGCTTACACGCGTCTTCCCTCGGGTAAAGAGTTCAAATCTTAATGATGGTTGATGCTAGAGTAAATTGGTGACCAGAATAAAGTTACAATGAAAAAGGAACTGTAAAAATGAAGATGAAAGTAAGCACTAAAATTCGTATTAATGGCTGAAAATGCTATTATCTACTAAAATATGAAGATGAAAATAAATGCTATTTAAAAATTGATAATAATGGTTGACATTTGTCCCTCTAACAAAAAATTAAAATGAAAATAAATACTATTTAAAAATTGATAATGGTTGATATTGGTTCGGCTAATAAAAAATAAAGATGAAAGTAAATACAAATCAAAAATTAATAATAATGGTTGGCATTGTTTCGTCTAATAAAAATGCAGATATAATAATAATGGCTGTCGATGCTTCGCCTAATAAAAAACTGAAGATGAAAGTAAATACAACAGTGTCTTAGTCGTATCTTCGCCCTGCTTGGAGTGAAATGATTAAAAAAAAACAAGGCGTCTAAATTTATGAATATACGAAAAAAAATTAATAATAATGGTTGGTATTGTTTCGTGTAACAAAAAATGAAAATGAATACTATTTAAAAATTGATAATGGTTGACATTGGTTCGGCTAATAAAAAATGAAGATGAAAGTAAACACTATTTAAAATTAATAATAATGGTTGACAATGCTTTGTCTAATAAAAATGAAGACGAAAGTAAACACTATTTAAAAATTAATAATGGTTGACAATACTTCACCTAATAAAAAAATGAAGATGAAATACAAATCAAAAATTAATAATAATGGTTAACATTTATTCGTCTATTAAAAATGCAGATGAAAATAAATATTAGTTAAACATTTAATAAAAATGGCTGACGATGCTTCGCGTAATAAAAAAATGAAAATGAAAGTAAATAGAAGTCAAAAATTAATAATAATGGTTAACATTTATTCGTCTATTAAAAATGCAGATGAAAGTAAATATTAGTTAAACATTTAATAAAAATGGCTGACGATGCTTCGCGTAATAAAAAAATGAAAATAAAAGTAAATAGAAGTCAAAAATTAATAATAATGTTTGGCATTGTTTCGTCTAATAAAAATGAAGATGAAAGTAAATACAACGTTAAAAATAAAATCATAATACTGTAACTCCGAAGAATTTCCGACGGAAACATCACGAATAACAATTTTTCCATAAAGAGTTTGTTTTTGCCCGAATTATCTTTGAAAATCAAGCAGCAAAATCAATTTGTCCAATTTTCTTTATCGAAAATTCTTGTTTATGTATCAAACAAAATAATAATGCAGAGGAAATTATTTGTAATTTTTTCTTTCATTTGTTCTTTGTAATCCTAAATGTTGTCACATATTGGTCAATTAAATAATAACTCGTGATTTGATGACATTATCATTCTTACAAAACGAACGACAGTTCTTAAATTGAATCGGTATGCGGTTCTTATGTAGCCATAAAAAAAAAACGGAGATGGAAAATGCAATGAGTTATAGGCAAAGTATTATTTATCACTTGGGAAGAATTTCCATTTTGAAGTAACAAGTATAGCGTCCTCTTATTGGCAATCAACTTTTTTTTTTATTTGTTGTCATATATAAAGAGATATAAAATATCGGCAATTATGGAAAAAAAAAAAAAAGACTTTGTTTTTTGTTTGAGTCGACACCAAAATTATTTCTGTTGTTTCAAGTTGTATACGGACAAATATCATTCCAGATTCACTTTGTTCAATGTATATAAAGGGTATATATATATATATATATATATATATATATATATATATATATATATATATATATATATATATATATATATATAGTTTAAAGCGTCTGTGTACTAAATTGTGACGTGTTTTTATTTTAATTTCAAAGTATTTTCTCAGTAGGAAACAAAGTGTTCGATTTTTGACCCAGTGAACACGGGAATAACTCCCGATGGAACTAATAATAGTTCTTTTCCACTGCAAACGGATTATTTTCTAGAGAAAAAAATAATCGAAACAACATGGCTATATTTCTTTTTGGGGTGAGGTGGGGTGGATTTTTTTCTTTTGGCTTTATTTTGTTTGGGTGGATTTTTTTTTTTTGTTTTTGGTTACTTTTTTTTTTCCCAATTTTTCTATGATCATTTTGATCTGATAATCCGCTCCAACACCCCCCCCCAACAAAAAGCCGCTCTTTCTAAATGTCTCAATGAAACGCTTCATCACGCGCATGTCACTCCGCCTCCTCTTCATGCACGTGACACAAATAACAACAGGTCCTGCATTTCCGAAACTGCGTACTGAAGATGCGATTCGAACCCTCGTTTGAGAGCCTATTTCCGCAAAGGCTCCAGTTAAACAAACGGAGACTCCCCCCCACACACACACACACAAAAAAAAAACTATAAAATAAAAATAACAGAGACATTCCCTCGGCGTCGGCGATCGAAAATCACGTGATGCTTCCGATCGTATTACGAGCCGCAAAAATTCAATTACGATCGGTTTTGCACCTTTGTTTAGGACACTAATAGAGACTAATGACAATGAGAACGCGACAGGGTTGCTCTTTCATCGTCCGTCCGAGTTTATGTTGGTCGGCGTGAGGACAAAAGAGCCTCTAATACGACACGTCAGTCATGCCAGCTTCCCCCATAATCAACCGTTTATTGGGTCAAACGATCGGTGACGTGCCGCTCGATGCATTCCTTAGATCGTTGGACATCATTCCGTGGCGAATGAGAGATTTGCAACTCGTCAGTATACGCGTCATCTAGAAGAGCCGTTTTTCTACCAGCAAAAAGAGAGAGAGAGAGAGAGAAAGAAAAAAAAAGAAGGTCTCTTTGCTCTTTGCTCAAAGACATGAGAGTTTGGCGGAACCGCTTATCATGTTCCCTGATCGACAACGTTGTTGCTTTATGTTTGGCACAGCGAGGCCAACTTGCCCGTTGTCGAGTGAGGCGAGAGACCACCTGCTCAATAAATACCTTCACACACACACACACACACACACACACACACACACACACACACACACACACACACACACACACACACACACACAGACATTTTATTATCAGTCTTTTCGTCAATATCCAGGCAATGCAGAATAGCCAACACAAACACACACACACACACACGCACACACATAATTATATTGTTTAAAATTTGCTATATTTATGAAGGAAGAGTATTCCATATCTCGACAGAGAAAGAAAAAAAAAGGGAAAAAGAAACAAGAAAGCAAGCAAAGAACAAAGAAAGAAAGAAACATTAAATAATTAAGAAGGAAAGAAAAAAGAAAGAAAAAAAACAAGAAAAGAAAGAATAAATGATTATGGAAGCAAGAAAATGAAAGAAATAATGATTAATTAAGAAAACAAGAAACATGAAAAAAGAAAGAAGAAAAGAGATGAAGAAAGAATAAATAATTGAGAAAGCAAGAAAAAAAGAAAGAAAGAAAAAGGACGGAAGGAAAGAAAGAAATAAGAAAAGAAAAGAAAAGAAAGAAAGAAAGAAAGAAAGAAAGAAAGAATAAATAATTAAGAAAACAAGAAAAAAGAAAGAAATGAGATGAAGAAAGAATAAATAATTGAGAAAGCAAGAAAAAAGAAAGAAAGAAAAAAGAAGGAAGGAAAGAAAGAAATAAGAAAAAAAAAGAAAGAATAAATAATTAAGAAAGCAAGAAAAAAAGAAAGAAAAAAGAAGGAAGGAAAGAAAGAAATAAGAAAAGAAAAGAAAGAAAGAATAAATAATTAAGAAAAAAAGAAAAAGAAAGAAGAAAAAGAAGGAATGAAAGGAAGATAAATAATTAATAAAGCAAGAACGAAAGAAGAAAATAAAATAAAAGAAAGAAACAATAAATGATTATGAAAGAAAGAGAGAAAGAAAGAAAGAAAGAAAGAAAGAAAGAAAGAAAGAAGTAAACAAAGAAAAAGAAAAAGGAAGGGGAAAATGAAAAAGGAGGGGAGATATGACGGAAAGAAGTCATGAAAAGAGAAGAACGAAAAAGATAACATAAAGAAAAATACAAAGAAAGAAAGAAAGAAAGAAAGAAAGAAAGAAAGAAAGAAAGAAAGAAAGAAAAGACAAGTAAGAAAGAATAAATGATTATGGGAGCAGGACAAAAGAAAGAAAGAAGAAAATAAAAAGAAAGACTGAATAAATGATAAAGAAAAAGAAAGAAAGATTAAATTATTAAGAAAGAGAGAAAGAATGATTAAAAGATTAAAAAAATAAAGAAAGAACAAATCACAAAAAAATTGAATGAGTAAGAAAGAAAGAAAGTATGAAAGAAAGAATAAATG